TACAGACTTCTGCAAACAGTAAATAGTCTTCTGCATGCTGTATCTAGTATATTCCCAGCAGTATCTAGTTATCAGAAGTATTTCGATTTCAATATGAGACTAGTATTTCACTGGTAATATTTTGGTCTTCTCCCAGAAGTATCTATCCCTCCGAAAGTCTTCTGCAAAAAGCATCTGGTATTCTGCCAGCAGTATTTATGCTCCCACAAACAGCGAGTAATATTCTACAATCTTCTTCATGCACTACTTAGTCTTTTGCAAACACAAGATAACAAAATTTTTCCGATTAAATAAAATCGTCCACCATCCAGATTATATATTGTATATAAAGAATAAGGTTTTATCGATATAATTTCGTTGTAAATTATTCAAAACCGCTTCGAATTTTGCATCGAAATTAATTAGAATTCTCAAAAATGAGATTAACTTTTCGATTAAAAACTTAAGTTGAGGTACACACAACAATCTGTTTATTTATCGAATAAAATTAATTTTTTAAATATGATTTTGAAAAAAGTACTAATTAATGAAAAAAAATTACCATTTCCCATTCTCTGAGATCTACCGGATTGAAATGGTCGACTCGTTGAGAGATCGTGTCCCAAACGGCAGCTTTCGATCCTTTTTTAAAAACGGTTTGTTTCGGTGGACCATGTTTGAGGGATTTCAAAAAGTGTTGGGACTTAAAATTTAATTAAAACACAATTAATTAGTAAAAGCAAAGTAATTAATTATTATAGAACTTACATTAACCAAATGAATGGCTATTAAAAGCACAAAAAACCCAAACGACTTCATTCTTTAAACAAAGTAAATCGTTTGGAACAAAAACTCGTAATGAATCGGAATTGTTAAATATTTTTTGATACAATCGGGTTTTGATATAATTAAACTACTTCATTTTCGAGTGTTTTTCTATATTTATTTTTATCGTGTATTATGGGGAGATTACGAACTTAATCGAATTATTACAAAGGTAGGTACTTTACCACATTTTTAGAAATAAAGATCAGATCGGTAATAATAAGATTTCATCAATAATAATAATTAATAAATAAACTAAAAAAAAGTTTTTGACGATTTTTATTTAAGTAGAGTTGACGTTAGTTATACATTGTTAAACATAGTAATATAATTTGAGGAAAACCGTATTTGCTTATTTGTGCAAGTTAAAATGTTATTTGTGGGAAATCCAGGCTTAACATAATTCCGTAATCTCAATTTTTACACTTTTCTATGCAATATATTAATCTGATTTTTCACCTGATTGTTGTGAAAAGAATTAAGGCTGATTAAATCAAGGTCGCTTGGTTTAGTATTATTTTTGATTTATAAATTCGACTATATTTTCTTTAATAATTTTTCTTATTTTTATAATATTATCTTATAGATTTTATATCACTTCATAAGATAGACTCTTTAAGCTTCAATTTAACATACACATCATATCATAATTTTTAAAAATAGAGTCGATATGATTTTTTGAAAATTTCATATTATTTTTGATTTATAAATGTGACAATTTTTTCCTAAATAATTTTTATCTGCAAATTTCAATAATATTATCTAATAGTATTTATATCACATTATAAACTATAAAATATAAGCTTCAATTCAACATACATTTGGCCGACATGATTTGTTTTAAATTATGTTTTATATTTGAGTTATAAATTTGACAACTTTTTCTTTAATAATTTTTTCTTAGAAATTTTAATAGCATCATCATATGGCTTTTAGGTCATATCATAAACTAGAATCTTTAAGCTTCAATTTAACATACATATAATAATAATAATAGTAATGCCTTTTATTAATTGAAATCATTACATTATCTATAATTTAATAATGAAAGTATAAGTATACAGGGCGTAGTTAAGGACCTAAGTCCTTCTCTTCCACTCAACCCTGTTTTATACACAAACATAAACCAAAAAAAAAGCACAAAATTAATAAACAAATGAAAAAAAAAACAAATATTCTTAAAAATAAAACCAAAAGAGTTATAAACTAAAAATAACTAAAGAAAACTAATCTATAATACGGAAAAACAAAACAAAAATATTCCCTTTTCTATATCTTGCCTACATCTTACGTTAAAATTTTAATTATAGTGCTCACTCATCATAACAAAGTCTGTTCACTGAATAAACCAGATCTCAAGTTGCGTACAAATACCGCTGGTGGTGCCGATTTCAAAGTTCCCGGTAGGGGATTGTAAAGCTTCGGGAGGGTGAAAGTAAATGATCTTTGAAATAGTGCTGTTGCATGCTGCGAAGGAGAAATTAGACACTTATTTCTAACATTTAGATTGTGGATATCCGTTCAGAACCTTATCTTATCACTTAAATAACGTGGTTCTCGCAACATTAAAAGTTTATGATAAAAAGTAAGGAATCTAAACTTTCTTCTATTAGCCATGTTTAACCAGCCAGCAACCTGTAACATATGAGAAATATGTTCTCGTCGTCTAAGTTTATAAATCATTCGTAAACAGGACAACATCATTATTCTAAAAAAAACAGTCGACCTGATATCTTAAAAAAAATTATACTATATTTGTATTTATAAATTTGACAATTTCTTCTTTACTAACTTTTTCCTGGATATTTCAATAATATTATCATATAGTTTTTATATCACATCATAAACTAGAATCTTTAAGCTTCAATTTGACATACATATCGTATTATAATTCTTAAAAACACGGCCAATATGATTTTTTGAAAATTTTATATTACTCTTGATTTAAAATTTAATAATTTCCTCATTAATAACTTTTCTGAAAATTTCAATATATTACCTGATAGTTCTTATATTACATCATAAACCAGAGTCTTTAAGCTTCAATTTGACATATATATCATATCAACATTCTTAAAAACACGGCCGATATGATTTTTTGAAAATTTTTTATTATTTTTGATTTATAAATTTGACAATTTCTTCTTTAATCATTTCTTCCTGGGAATTTCAATAATATTATCATATAATTTTTATATCACATCATAAACTATAATCTTTAAGCTTCAATTTAACATACATATCATATCATAATTCTTAAAAACACGACCAATATGATTTTTTGAAAATTTCATATTATTATTTGATTGATAAATTTGCCAATTTCTTCTTTGATAACTTTTTCCAGGAAATTTCAATAATATTATCTTATAGTTTTTATATCATATCATAAACTAGAATCTTTAAGCTTCAATTTGACAAACATATCATATCGTAATTCTTAAAAACACCGTCGATATCATTTTTACAGGAGAAGCAATTTTTAAAAAATTAACTTTAATCAATATTTATTAAAGTTTATAATTTTTTATAGATCATTTTTCCTTCTTATTTCCATCATTAACATATACCTCGTGATACATCATCTTAAAGAAGACATTTTAAGCTATAATTTAAGATATAAATCATTTCTTTATTCCTAAGAATAAACCGGAAGTGATTTTTTAAACTTTACATTAAATTAATATCGTGAATCCAACATTTTTTTACAACATTATTTCTAAAAATTCTTTTTTTAACAAACTTTATCGTTTCGAAATATCATATCATACACCATTTTATAGAGAATAATTTAAGCTTTCATTTGCGATATAACTCATCTCTTAACTCCCAAAAATACAGGAGAAGCGATTTTTTAAAAATTGACTTTAATCAATATTTATTAAAATTTATAATTTCTTATAGATCATTTTTCCTTCTTATTTCCATCATTAACATATACATCATGATACATCATCTTAAAGAAGACATTTTAAGCTATAATTTAAGATATAAATTATTTGTGTATTTCTAATAATAAACCGGAAGTGATTTTTTAAACTTTACATTAAATTAATATCGTTAATCCAAAATTTTTATACAACATAATTTTTAAAAATTCTTTTTTAACAAACTTTATCATTTCGAAATATCATATCATACATCATTTTAAAGAGAATAATTTAAGCTTTCATTTGCGATATAACTCATCTCTTAACTCCCAAAAATACAGGAAAAGCGATTTATTTAAAATTGACTTTCATCAATATTTATTAAAATTTATAATTTCTTATAGATGATTTTTCCTCCTTATTTCCATCATTAACATATACCTCGTGATACATCATCTTAAAGAAGACATTTTAAGCTATAATTTAAGATATAAATCATTTCTCTATTCCTAAGAATAAACCGGAAGTGATTTTTTAAACTTTACATTAAATTAATATCGTTAATCCAAAATTTTTGTACAACATAATTTTTAAAAATTCTTTTCTAATAAACTTTATCATTTCGAAATACTTTATCATACATCATTTTAAAGAGAACAATTTAAGCTTTCATTTGCGATATAACTCATCTCTTAACTCCCAAAAATACAGGAGAAGCGATTTTTTAAAAATTGACTTTAATCAATATTTATTAAAATTTATAATTTCTTATAGATCATTTTTCCTCCTTATTTCCATCATTAACATATACCCCATGATATATCATCTTAAAGAAGACATTTTAAGCTTTAATTTAAGATAAAAATCATTTCTTCATTCCTAAGAAGAAACCGGAAGTGATTTTTTAAACTTTACATTAAATTAATATCGTTAATCCAACATTAAGATACCAATACCAAATGTCAATCAACTATTTATTTTTGATCGTCATATATTTAACAATTGTACTATTATGAATTTGCCTTTGAACATGAAATGAAATGATAAAACAATTAGTGTTAATTATTTTGCGTTTGTAATTTGTTCATAACAATAAATTAACAATTAATAGCAACTAATTCTTCAATTACCGTAGTTGGACGTGAAAAAATGGTTGCTATGTACTAAAAGTAAACTTTTAATTGCAGTTTTCGAAAAAACTCTTTTCTAACTAACTTTATCATTTCGAAATATCTTATTATAGGTACTTCATTTAACAGATAACAATTTAAGCTTTTATTTAAGATATAACTTCTTGTTATGTGATGTAAATAAAACTAATTTTGATTTAATCGATTCTTTTAATAATATTTTCACAGCTAAGCTTTAATTAACTTATCCATTGACGAATATATTGTTGCACTCTCAATTTAGCCTCGCGCAATTGTTTCAAATCGTTTTCGCTGATCGAAGAGAGATCGGCGCTATGCGAGGTGCCCTCCACGACGATTACGGGCGCATCTTCGTTAATATCCTCAAGAACTCCCAGCGCATGCCAAGGATCCACAGTCCCATGGACAGACACCACCCTCGTTACTTCCGGTTCGAGGGCGCCGTAGAACAAATTCGTACGTTCAATCCCCGTGTTCAAGATTTCCTCCCCAGCTCTAAAACCAACACAGTAGTGGCGCTTTAACGTAAGAATTCATATTTTTGAGGTTATCTTAATAAATATTGATTTTATTAAAAAAAGTTTCAAATAAAATTAGTTTAGAATTAAGTCAGCAACAACGTTTATTTGAAACATTTTTTAATATTTTTGCTAGATAGCGCTGTATAATCTCCTAAAGTCTTCTTAATTTCCCTCTGAATAGTACGAAAAAATATATTAAGCCATATCTGAATAATTATTGTTTTTATCAAGAAATATTTCGAATAATGTTTATTTCGAATACGATTTTAAATAGTTTTTGTTTTAACAAAGATTCAATATCTCCACCAGGTGGCGCTTTAACGTAAAAATTCATATTTTTGAGGTTATCTTAATAAATATTGATTTTATTAAAAAAAGTTTCAAATAAAATTAGTTTAGAATTAAATCAGCAACAACGTTTATTTGAAACATTTTTTAATATTTTTGCTAGATAGCGCTGTATAATCTCATAAAGTCTTGTTGATTTCCCTCTGAACAGTACGAAAAAATATATTAAGCCATATCTGAATAATTATTGTTTTTATCAAAAAATATTTCGAATAATGTTTATTTAAAATACGATTTTAAATAATTTTTGTTTTAACAAAGATTCGATATCTCCACCAGGTGGCGCTTTAACGTAAGAATTCGTATTTTTGAGGTTATCTCAATAAATATTGATTTTATTAAAAAAAGTTTCAAATAAAATTAGTTTAGAATTAAATCAGCAACAACGTTTATTTGAAACATTTTTTAATATTTTTGCTTGATAGCGCTGTATAATCTCATAAAGTCTTGTTAATTTCCCTCTGAACAGTACGAAAAAATATATGAAGCCATATCTGAACAATTATTGTTTTTATCAAAATATATTTCGAATAATGTTTATTTAAAATACGATTTCAAATAGTTTTTGCTTTAACAAAGATTCCATATCTACACCAGATGGCGCTTTAACGTAAGAATTCATATTTTTGAGGTTATCTTAATAAATATTGATTTTATTAAAAAAAGTTTCAAATAAAATTAGTTTAGAATTAAATCAGCAACAACGTTTATTTGAAACATTTTTTAATATTTTCGCTAGATAGCGCTGTAAATGTCATAAAGTCTTCTTAATTTCCCTCTGAATAGTACGAAAAAATATATTAAGCCATATCTGAAAAATTATTGTTTTTATCAAGAAATATTTCGAATAATGTTTGTTTAGAATACGATTTGAAATAGTTTTTGTTTTTACAAAAATTCAATATCTCCACCAGGTGGCGCTTTAACTTAAGAATTCATATTTTTGAGGTTATCGTAATAAATATGGGTTTTATTAAAAAAAGTTTCAAATAAAATTAGTTTAGAATTAAATCAGCAACAACGTTTATTTGAAACATTTTTTAATATTTTTGCTAGATAGCGCTGTATAATCTCATAAAGTCTTCTTAATTTCCCTCTGAACAGTACGAAAAAATATATTAAGCCATATCTGAATAATTATTGTTTTTATCAAAAAATATTTCGAATAATGTTTATTTAGAATACGATTTTAAATAGTTTTTGTTTTTACAAAGATTCAATATCTCCACCAGGTGGCGCTTTAACTTAAAAATTCATATTTTTGAGGTTATCTTAATAAATATTGATTTTATTAAAAAAAGTTTCAAATAAAATTAGTTTAGAATTAAATCAGCAACAACGTTTATTTGAAACATTTTTTAATATTTTCGCTAGATAGCGCTATAAATGTCATAAAGTCTTCTTAATTTCCCTCTGAATAGTACGAAAAAATATTATTAAGCCATATCTGAATAATTATTATTTTTATCAAAAAATATTTCGAATAATGTTTATTTAGAATACGATTTGAAATAGTTTTTGTTTTTACAAAGATTCAATATCTTCGCCAGGTGGCGCTTTAACCTAAAAATTCATATTTTTGAGGTTATCTTATTGATTTTATTTAAAGTTTCAAATAAAATTAGTTTAGAATTAAATCAGCAACAATGTTTATTTGAAACATTTTTTAATATTTTCGCTTGACAGCGCTGTATAATAACATAAAGTTTTCTTGATTTCCCTCTGAACAGTACGAAAAAATATATTAAGCCATATCTGAATAATTATTATTTTTGTCAAAAAATATTTCGAATAATGTTTATTTAGAATACGATTTTAAATACTTTTTGTTTTTACAAAGATTCAATATCTCCACCAGGTGGCGCTTTAACGTAAGAATTCGTATTTTTGAAGTTATCTTAATAAATATTGATTTTATTAAAAAAAGTTTCAAATAAAATTAGTTTAGAATTAAATCAGCAACAACGTTTATTTGAAAAAATTTTTAATATTTTTGCTAGATAGCGCTGTATAATCTCATAAAGTCTTCTTAATTTCCCTCTGAACAGTACGAAAAAATATATTAAGCCATATCTGAATAATTATTATTTTTAATTTAGTATTGTTCAAAGGGAAATGAAGAACGTATTCTTAATTTCCCTCTGAACAGTACGAAAAAATATATTAAGCCATATCTGAATAATTATTGTTTTTATCAAAAAATATTTCGAATAATGTTTGTTTAGAATACGATTTTAAATAATTTTTGTTCTTACAAAGATTCGATATCTCCACCAGGTGGCGCTTTAAGTTAAGAATTCATATTTTTGAGGTTATCTTAATAAATATTGGTTTTATTAAAAAAAGTTTCAAATAAAATTAGTTTAGAATTAAATCAGCAACAACGTTTATTTGAAACATTTTTTAATATTTTTGCTAGGTAGCGCTGTATAATCTCATAAAATCTTCTTTATTTCCCTCTGAACAGTACGAAAAAATATATTAGGCCATATCTGAATAATTATTGTTTTTAGCAAAAAATACTTCGAACAATGTTTATTTAGAATACGATTTCAAATAGTTTTTGTTTTTACAAAGATTCAATATCTCCACCAGGTGGCGCTTTAACGTAAGAATTCATATTTTTGAGGTTATCTTAATAAACATTGATTTTATTAAAAAAAGTTTCAAATAAAATTAGTTTAGAATTAAATCAAAAACAACGTTTATTTGAAACATTTTTTAATATTTTCGCTTGATAGCGCTGTATAATAACATAAAGTCTTCTTCATTTCCCTCTGAACAGTACGAAAAATATATTAAGCCATATCTGAATAATTATTATTTTTATCAAGAAATATTTCGAATAATGTTTGTTTAGAATACGATTTTAAATAGTTTTTGTTTTAACAAAGTTTCGATATCTCCACCAGGTGGCGCTTTAATGTAAGAATTCATATTTTTGTGGTTATCTTAATAAATATTAGTTTTATTAAAAAAAGTTTCAAATAAAATTAGTTTAAAATTAAATCAGCAACAACGTTTATTTGAAACATTTTTTAATATTTTTGCTAGATAGTGCTGTATAATCTCATAAAGTCTTCTTTATTTCCCTCTGAACAGTACGAAAAAATATATTAAGCCATATCTGAATAATTATTGTTTTTATCAAAAAAAATTTCGAATAATGTTTATTTAGAATACGATTTTAAATAGTTTTTGTTTTAACAAAGATTCAATATCTCCACCAGGTGGCGCTTTAACGTAATAATTCATATTTTTGAGGTTATTTTAATAAATGTTGATTTTATTAAAAAAAGTTTCAAATAAAATTAGTTTAGAATTAAATCAGCAACAACGTTTATTTGAAAAAATTTTTAATATTTTTGTTAGATAGCGCTGTATAATCTCATAAAGTCTTCTTAATTTCCCTCTGAACAGTACGAAAAAATATATTAAGCCATATCTGAATAATTATTGTTTTTAAATATTTCGAATTCAAGATTTCCTCCCCAGCTCTAAAACCAACACAGTAGTGGCGCTTTAACGTAAGAATTCATATTTTTGAGGTTATCTTAATAAATATCGATTTTATTAAAAAAAGTTTCAAATAAAATTAGTTTAGAATTAAGTCAGCAACAACGTTTATTTGAAACATTTTTTAATATTTTCGCTAGATAGCGCTGTAAATGTCATAAAGTCTTCTTAATTTCCCTCTGAATAGTACGAAAAAATATATTATTAAGCCATATCTGAATAATTATTATTTTTATCAAGAAATATTTCGAATAATGTTTGTTTAGAATACGATTTTAAATAGTTTTTGTTTTTACAAAGATTCAATATCTCCACCAGGTGGCGCTTTAACTTAAGAATTCATATTTTTGAGGTTATCTCAATAAATATTGATTTTATTAAAAAAAGTTTCAAACAAAATTAGTTTAGAATTAAATTAGCAACAACGTTTATTTGAAACATTTTTTAATATTTTTGCTAGATAGCGCTGTATAGTCTCATAAAGTCTTCTTCATTTCCCTCTGAATAGTACGAAAAAATATATTAAGCCATATCTGAATAATTATTGTTTTTATCAAAAAATATTTCGAATAATGTTTATTTAGAATACGATTTTAAATAGTTTTTGTTTTACAAAGATTCAATATCTCCACCAGGTGGCGCTTTAACGTAAGAATTCATATTTTTGAGGTTATCTCAATAAATATTGATTTTATTAAAAAAAGTTTCAAATAAAATTAGTTTAGAATTAAATCAGCAACAACGTTTATTTGAAACATTTTTTAATATTTTTGCTAGATAGCGCTGTATAGTCTCATCAAGTCTTCTTAATTTCCCTCTGAACAGTACGAAAAAATATATTAAGCCATATCTGAATAATTATTATTTTTATCAAAAAATATTTCGAATAATATTTATTCAGAATACGATTTTAAATAGTTTTTGTTATTACAAAGATTCGATATCTCCACCAGGTGGCGCTTTAACGTAAGAATTCGTATTTTTGAGGTTATCTCAATAAATATTGATTTTATTAAAAAAAGTTTCAAATAAAATTAGTTTAGAATTAAATCAGCAACAACGTTTATTTGAAACATTTTTTAATATTTTTGCTAGATAGCGCTTTATAATCTCATAAAGTCTTCTTGATTTCCCTCTGAACAGTACGAAAAAATATATTAAGCCATATCTGAATAATTATTGTTTTTATCAAAAAATATTTCGAATAATGTTTATTTAGAATACGATTTTAAATAGTTTTTGTTTTTACAAAGATTCAATATCTCCACCAGGTGGCGCTTTAACGTAAGAATTCGTATTTTTGAGGTTATCTTAATAAATATTGATTTTATTAAAAAAAGTTTCAAATAAAATTAGTTTAGAATTGAATCAGCAACAACGTTTATTTGAAACATTTTTTAATATTTTTGCTAGATAGCGCTGTATAATCTCATAAAGTCTTGTTGATTTCCCTCTGAATAGTACGAAAAAATATATTAAGCCATATCTGAATAATTATTATTTTTATCAAAAAATATTTCGAATAATGTTTATTTAGAATACGATTTTAAATAGTTTTTGTTTTAACAAAGATTCGATATCTCCACCAGGTGGCGCTTTAACGTAAGAATTCATATTTTTGAGGTTATCTTAATAAATATTGATTTTATTAAAAAAAGTTTCTAATAAAATTAGTTTAGAATTAAATCAGCAACAACGTTTATTTGAAACATTTTTTAATATTTTTGCTAGATAGTGCTGTATAATCTCATAAAGTTTTCTTTATTTCCCTCTGAACAGTACGAAAAAATATATTAAGCCATATCTTAATAATTATTGTCTTTATCAAGAAATATTTCGAATAATATTTGTTTAGAATACGATTTTAAATAGTTTTTGTTTTTACAAAGATTCGATATCTCCACCAGGTGGCGCTTTAGCGTAAGAATTCATATTTTTGAGGTTATTTTAATAAATATTGATTTTATTAAAAAAAGTTTCAAATAAAATTAGTTTAGAATTAAATCAGCAACAACGTTTATTTGAAACATTTTTTAATATTTTTGCTAGATAGCGCTGTATAATCTCATAAAGTCTTCTTATTTCCCTCTGAACAGTACGAAAAAATATATTAAGCCATAATAAATATTGATTTTATTAAAAAAAGTTTCAAATAAAATTAGTTTAGAATTAAATCAGCAACAACGTTTATTTGAAACATTTTTTAATATTTTTGCTAGATAGCGCTGTATAATAACATAAATTCTTCTTCATTTCCCTCTGAATAGTACGAAAAAATATATTAAGCCATATTTGAATAATTATTGTTTTTATCAAGAAATATTTCGAATATTGTTATTTAGAATACGATTTTAAATAGTTTTTGTTTTTACAAAGATTCAATATCTCCACCAGATGGCGCTTTAACTTAAGAATTCATATTTTTGAGGTTATCTCAATAAATATTGGTTTTATTAAAAAAAGTTTCAAATAAAATTAGTTTAGAATTAAATCAGCAACAACGTTTATTTGAAACATTTTTTAATATTTTTGTTAGATAGCGCTGTGTAATCTCATAAAGTTTTCTTAATTTCCCTCTGAACAGTACGAAAAAATATACTAAGCAATATCTGAATAATTATTGTTTTTATCAAAAAATATTTCGAATAATATTTATTTAGAATACGATTTTAAATAATTTTTGTTTTAACAAAGATTCGATATCTCCACCAGGTGGCGCTTTAACGTAAGTATTCATATTTTTGAGGTTATCTTAATAAATATTGATTTTATTAAAAAAAAGTTTCAAATAAAATTAGTTTAGAATTAAATCAGCAACACCGTTTATTTGAAACATTTTTTAATATTTTTGTTAGATAGCGCTGTGTAATCTCATAAAGTCTTCTTCATTTCCCTCTGAATAGTACGAAAAAATATATTAAGCCATATCTGAATAATTATTGTTTTTATCAAGAAATATTTCGAATAATGTTGATTTAGAATACGATTTTAAATAGTTTTTGTTTTTACAAAGATTCAATATCTCCACCAGGTGGCGCTTTAACCTAAAAATTCATATTTTTGAGGTTATCTTAATAAATATTGGTTTTATTAAAAAAAGTTTCAAATAAAATTAGTTTAGCATTAAATCAGCAACAACGTTTATTTGAAACATTTTTTAATATTTTTGCTAGATAGCGCTGTATAATCTCATAAAGTCTTCTTAATTTCCCTCTGAATAGTACGAAAAAATATATTAAGCCATATCTGAATAATTATTATTTTTATCAAAAAATATTTCGAATAATGTTTATTTAAAATACGATTTTAAATAGTTTTTGTTTTAACAAAGATTCGATATCTCCACCAGGTGGCGCTTTAACGTAAGAATTCATATTTTTGAGGTTATCTTAATAAATATTGATTTTATTAAAAAAAGTTTCAAATAAAATTAGTTTAGAATTAAATCAGCAACAACGTTTATTTGAAACATTTTTTAATATTTTTGCTAGATAACGTTGTATAATCTTATAAAGTCTTCTTAATTTCCCTCTGAACAGTACGAAAAAATATATTAAGCCATATCTGAATAATTATTATTTTTAATTTAGTATTGTTCAAAGGGAAATGAAGAACATTTCCCTCTGAACAGTACGAAAAAATATATTAAGCATAATTCTCGATTATCATAAATTTTAATTTTTACCCAAATAATTCTTGACACATATCGATGTACATTTGGAGCCAAAAGTCGCCGAATGGCCGCGTTGTTTGATTTCCAGTTTGGTAGAAGCCGTATTCGGTGCAAGTTTGGTAAAGCCACTGCCGGCCTAAAAAATTTGCCTCAATTAAGAATCAAAAATTAAAATTAAATCATACTCGAATCTCCGTATCTAATAGTGGTGTTTTTGTTGTAATCAATGAGGAATTGGTAATCACTTAAGCAAGCGGTTCCATAGAAGCTGCGAATATAAGCCGCTAATTTCTCGACTGCGGAACCGCTGGTGCTTAAGATTGATTTACAAGCTTCATCAATATCGCCTGGTTGCGCATATTGGGTGTTATAAGCGAAGGGGATTGCTAAACTACTGAAGAAATATGAACGTTCCGGTTCTGTAACATCAATTGTGTTGCAAGTACTACAAAAATTAATTAATTAATTTTTTTTAATTAACTCGAATTAATTTATTTACCCAAACATCGAAGACATATTCTCCAACCCATCCACGCTATCCAGACTCCCCTCCAACATTCGAATCCCTTCCGTAATAGTATCCATACATTCATCACTCGATAACCTAAAATTATCAGCAACAACTTGGAAATACCCACTAAAATCAGCTTGGGCTAAAAGCGGCGCGCTCGAAGCTAAAGCTGCATCGACGAGATGGGGATATTTTTTGCGAATCCACGTGGCCATTGTAGCCGAGTATGAGCCACCAACGACGACGACCTTGCTGTTTTCGGCTCCTTCTATGTGCGATTTTTGGTGTTGGATGAAATAGGCGACGTCGGCGATCGCTTGGTCCAAGCTGAGGAATTTTAAGTTTTCGGTGGTGAAGTCCTCGACCGGTTGACTTTTCCCGTAGTAACGGTGTTCCGTGTAGAACATGTAACCGTTGTGTTCGTTGGCCATGTCGAACATTTGCCCGGTTCGGACGTAACCTTCGTCGATACCCCATTCGCCACCCAAAAAGATGAACAATGGACCACCCGGTTTGTAGAATTGGTCATTGTATATGTATCTCTATAAAAAAATTATAATTAAATTAAATTAATTCTAATAAAGAGATGTATAAAATATTAATCTTTTATTGAAATTAAAGATTTTGTCAATTTCGTGATGCTAAATTTTGTTTTTAGACTGTTATCACAAAACAAGTCGATAAAATTGTCTTCTTCTGCAGAAGTTAATTCAGATAAGTCATAAAGATAAATATAAAGATACGTAATAAAATTTTATCACGCGAAAGTCATCGTGTACTGCAACACTACAGCAAAGACATGTGTTCGACTCCCATGATAGACTTTGACTTTAAACTGAAGACTTTAATGTGATATTTACTATTAAAACTTGGCTAGAAGCGACATCGATTTAATCTACCTTAGTTATTTCCACGAAAATCAGATGTAATTATAAATTCTTTGCTCTAAGTTTCGCTGAGGCTCTAGAATTAATATCATATCAACCCAAATCTGATCAACATATTGCAACATCTTAACTAAAAGCGACCTTGGTGTGTTTCCCGTTGATTCTACTGATTCTCCAGTAGAACCAAAGCTAGCACGAGATTACAAGCGTATGGCGAACATATCGTGAGCAAGAGTTGTGTCCCTATCACGTTACACATGTGCAAGATTTATTACCAGAAGACTGTAACAAGCACAGAAATTTCTGCCAGTTGCTGAGCTGCCTCCTAGTTACTGACGAATCTTGTTTTACCAGAAATGGGATTATTAATTTTCGAAATACTTTGGAATCAATTTTAGCAATATATGCAACCCCCCCATTCCAGGGGGATAATGGTACTTGAGCATTAAAATATATTTTAGTGATGTTGCAGTATACAAAAACTTTTATTGCTAATATAAAAATAGTACATTTTTTATTACGTTAGAAAATAAGTAACACTTGCTTTAGCTAAATCACATTATGACATTCAGAAAAACAGTTCTTTCTTTCATTACAATATAAATAAACATTGCACGCAGTTTTAAATTGGAGCTTAAAGCTTTCTCTTTAAATTGACGTATAGTAATGGTAATGTTGGATCACAAAAATGTGGAGAAAAAAAATGTTGAAACAAAACTTACATTTTCGTATGACCAAAACGTGTCAAAAAAAGATGCTAAGTTAAAAATTCCTGTAAGCCGTATTTACTGAAATTAAGGAATGAGACTTATTCTAAATTAAAGCTCAAAGCTTTCTTTTTAAAATGATATATAATAATTCTTGGGTTGGATTGGAAAAATATTGAGAAAAAAAATGTTGAAACAAAACTTACATTTTCGTATAACCTAAAAGTGTCAAAAAAGATGCTAATTTAGAAATTCCTGGAAGCCGTATTTATTGAAATTAAGAAATGAGACTTATTCTAAATTAAAGCTCAAAGCTTTCTCTTTAAAATGATGTATAATAATTATTGGGTTGGATTGGAAAAATATTGAGACAAAAAATGTTGAAACAAAACTTACATTTTCGTATAACCTAAAAGTGTCAAAAAATATGCTAATTTAAAAATTCCTGGAAGAACATACATGTAAGTAAAAATTTTGCATGGCGCGTATTAAACCGCGAAGTCCTTCATCCGTATCGTAAACAGAATGTTCAAGCTCTATAGTCAGGAGATAAACAGCAACGGTAGCATTTTGTGAATGGTTATTGCAGCAACATGCCCAAAATAATGACATCATTTCCAACGTTCTCTAGACAGATGAATCATGTTTTACACGAGATGGTATAAATAATTACCATAATGAACATATCCGGGCATTACAAAATCCGCATATGATTAGACCAAGGAAATTTCATCAACGTTTCAGCATCAACGTTTGGGGTGGAATATTTAACAACAATTTACTAGGTTTGCATGTACTTGATGGACGTTTGAACGCTGTAAATTACAGATTTTTTTTTAACAATACAGTTTTTGATTTACTTGAAGATATACCTCTTAATGTAATTCAAAATATGTGTCCCACCTCGTCGCGGAAGAATAGTAGTCGAGTGGTTAAACCAATATTTTCCAAACAAGTGGATTGGTAATAATGATCCATTTGCTTGGCCACCTAGATCAACCGACCTTAATCCATTGGACTTCTACTTATGGGGTCAAATGAAACAAATTGTGTATCAAGTGGAAATTAACACACGAGAAAAGGTATTAAACAGAATTCAAATGGCTGCTACTGAAACAGAAAATCAACCAGACATTTTAATTCGGCTGAAGAATTCTTTAATTCGTCGTTGTGAAATATGTATTCTAGCAGGAGGTTAGCAAGGAGGTTATTTTGAACAATATTTGTAATATTTATGTGTTTAAAAAAAATATAGCAGTTAATTATGATATAAAAATCAAAACTTGAAAGTGTTATAATTTCGTAAATAATTGAAATAGGACATATGTTCATTAAAATTCCTTTTTGCTAATTGGATTAGCTATCATATGTCAAAGTTTGATGGTGAGCTAATAAATCACCCTGTATATTGTTCAAATTTGGGTAGATGAAGCGACTTCGGGTTGGTTGCTCGATTAAGCCGAGGCGGTGCNACTACTGCCTCGGCCGCAAGCGACCTCAGCTTAATTCCTTGATGTTAGATATTAATATAATCTACTGCCTCGGCCGCAAGCGACCTTGACTCGGTTCCTTGAATCGAAACGTAGTTAACACAATATACTGCCTCGGCCGCAAGCGACCTCGGCTTAATTTCTTGAACCCCAAGGTGGTTAACACAATCTACTGCATCGGCCGCAAGCGACCTCGGCTTAGTTTCTTGATTTCAGAGGCTATTAATATAATCTACTGCCTCGGCCGTAAGCGACCTAGGCTCGGCTTCTTGAATCGAAAGATAATTAACACAATACACGGCTTGTTCCTGGAAACCATTGTTTTTCATGATTTAGCCGAAACCTGGGAAGCGTAGCAATATGTTGATCACACTTGGGTTGACATGACATTAATTGTATTGCCTAATAATGTACTGCCGCGACCGCAAGCGAGCTCGGCTCTGTTCTTTGAATGGATAGGTGGTTAAGACAATATACCGCCTCGGTCGCAAGCGACCTTGGTTTGATTTCTTGAATCCCAAGGTTATTAATACAATCTACTGCCTTTTCCTGATTAAGGCACTGCTATATGTTGTTCTGATTTGAGTTGATATGATATTCATTGCAGTGCCTCGGCCATAAGCAATTTCGGCTTGCTTCCTTGATTCCATAGATTATAAAGATTATTGTGAAGATTAAGCAGGTTATGTTGAGAGAGGTCAGGGATAATGTTGAGGGATGTGCGAGGCAATGTAAACCAAGAAATGATATTTATCAAAACCACACTTCCAGATGCCTACAGAATTTCTTGGTAGGGTTTTTGCCTTCTTCCAGAATATCTACTCTTCTTATAGTAGTATGTAGTCTTCTATAAACAGTATCTGGTCTTCTGCCAACAGTACTTTGTTTGCAGGCTTCTGCAACCAGTAAATAGTCTTCTGCATGCTATATCTAGTATATTCCCAGCAGTATCTGGTTATCAGAAGTATTTCGATTTCAATATGAGACTAGTATTTCACTGGTAATATTTTGGTCTTCTCCCAGAAGTATCTATCCCTCCGAAAGTCTTCTGCAAAAAGCATCTGGTTTTCTGCCAGCAGTATTTATGCTCCTACAAACAGCGACTAATATTCTACAATCTTCTTCATGCACTACTTAGTCTTTTGCAAATAGAATCGCAAAGATAACAAAATTTTTCCGAATAAATAAAATCGTCCACCATCCAGATTATATGTTGTATATAAAGAATAAGGTTTTATGGATATAATTTCGTTGTAAATTATTCAAAACCGTTTTGAATTTGCATCGAAGTTAATTAGAATTGTCGAAAATGAGATCGTTAATATTAACTTTTCGATTAAAAACTTAAATTGAGGTACACACAACAATCTGTTTATTCATCGAATAAAATTAATTTTTTAAATATGATTTTGAAAAAAGTACTAATCAATGAAAAAAAAATTACCATTTCCCATTCTCTGAGATCTATCGGATTGAAATGATCGACCCGTTGAAAAATTGTGTCCCAAACGGCGGCTTTGGATCCTTTTTTAAAAACGGTTTGTTTCGGTGGACCATGTTTGAGGGATTGCAAAAAGTGTTGAGACTTCAAATTTAATTAAAACACAATTAATTAGTAAAAACAACGTAATTAATTATTATAGGACTTACATTAACCAAATGAATGGTTATCAAAAGCAGAAAAAACCCAAACGACTTCATTCTTTAAACGAAGTAAGTCGTTTGAAATAAAAACTCCTAACGAATCCGAATTGTTAAATACTTTTTGATACAATCGGGTTTTGATATGACTAAAGTACTTCATTTTCGAGTATTTTTCTATATTTATTTTTATCGTGCATAGGGAGATTACTTTACCTCATTTTTAGTAATAAAGATCAGATCAGTAATAATAAGATTTCATCAATAATAATAATAATTAATAAATAAACAAAAAAAAACGTTGTTGACGGTTTTTATTTAAGTAGAGTTGACGTTAGTTAGACGTTGTTAAACATAGTAATATAATTTGAGGAATACCGTATTTGCTTATTTGTGCGAGTTAAAATGTTATTTATGGGAAATCCAGGCTTAACATAATTCCGTAATCTCAATCTTTACACTTTTCTATGCAATACGTTAATCTGATGTTTCACCTGATTGTTGTGAAAACAATTAAGGCTGATTAAATTGGTTTCGTGTTATTTTTAATTTATAAATTCGACAATTTCGTCTTTAATCATTTTTTCCTGGAAATTTTTATAATTTTATCTTATGGTTTCTATATTGCATCATAAAATAGAATCTTTAAGTTTCAACTTAGCATACATATCATATCATTATCATTAAAAAGACAATTTATTTACAATTTGACAATTACTTCTTTAATAACTCTTTCCTGGGAATTTCAATAATATTATCATATAGTTTCTATATCACATCATAAACTAGAATCCTTAAGCTTCAATTTAACATACAGATCATATTATACTTTTCAAGAATACATTTGATTTTTTGAAAATTTCGTATTATTTTTGATTTATAATTTGACAATTACTTCTTTAATGACTCTTTCCTGGGAATTTCAATAATATTATCATATAGTTTTTATGTCACGTCATAAACTAGAATCTTTAAGCTTCAATTTAACATATATATCATATCATAATTCTTAAAAACATGACCGATATAATTTTATGAAAATTTCGAATCATTTTTGATTTACAAATTGACAATTTCTTCTTTAATAACTTTTTCCTGGAAGTTTCAATAATATTATCATATAGTTTTTATGTCACATCATAATCTAGAATCTTTAAGCTTCAATTTGACATACATATTATATCATAATTTTTACAAACACGGCCGATTTGATTTTTTGAAAATATCATATTATTTTTGATTTATAATTTGACAATTACTTCTTTAATATTTTTTTCCTGGAAATATCAATAATATTATCATATAATTTTTATATCACATCATAACCTAGAATCTTTAAGCTTCAATTTAACATACATATCATATCATAATTCTTAAAAACACGGCTGGTATGATATATTGAAAATTTTATATTATTTTTGATTTATAAATATGACAAGTTCTTCTTCAACAATTTATTCCTGGCAATTTCAATGATATTATGATATAGTTTTTATATCACATCATAAACTAGAACCTTTAAGCTACAATTTAACATACATATCATATCATTATCATTAAAAGCACGGCCGATATGATTTTTGAAAATTTGGTGTTATTTTTGATTTATAATTTGACAATTTCTACTTTAATAATTTTTCCTGGAAATTTCAATAATATTATCATATAGTTTTTGTATCACATCATAACCTAGAATCTTTAAGCTTCAATTTAACATACATATCATATCATAATTCTTACAAACACGGCCGATATGATTTTTTAAAAATGCCATATTTATGATTTATTATTTTACAATTACTTCTTTAATAATTTTTTCCTAAAAACCTTCAAGGATATATATATATCATATAATGTTTATATCACATCATAAACTAGAATCTTTAAGCTTTAATTTGACATACATATCATATCATAATTCTTCAAAATAAAGTAGATACGATTTTTTGAAAATTTCGTATTATTTTTGATTTATAATTTGACAATTTCTTCTTTAATAATTTTTTCCTGGAAATATCAATAATATTATCATATAATTTTTATACCACATCATACCCTAGAATCTTTAAGCTTCAATTTAACATACATATCATATCATAATTCTTAAAAACACGGCCGGTATGATATATTCAAAATTTCATATTATTTTTGATTTATAAATATGACAATTTCTTCTTCAACAATTTATTCCTGGAAATTTCAATAATATTATGATATAGTTTTTATATCTCATCATAAACTAGAACCTTTAAGCTTCAATTTAACATACATTTCATATCATTATCATTAAAAGCACGGCCGATATGATTTTTGAAAATTTCTTATTATTTTTTATTTACAATTTGATAATTACTTCCTTAATAATAATCCAATTTATTAACCCTCAAAAATCTTTTGCATATAAATCACTTTACATAATAAAGAAAAATAAGAAGGTTAATTAGATAGCCAGGTCAGGCAACACCTTGGTGGCGAGGACTGCTCTTCCCCTGGCTCCTATGTACTATAACAAATAATCCATAACAGCGCAAAAAAAATATATACATATAACTGATTGTGAGTATAATAAAGAAAACTAATTCAATCTTGTCTGTCGCTCACATAAACACTGTCTGTATTTAATTTTAAAATTTGACACGTTTAACACTTTTAATGGGCGAGGAAGGGTGTTCCAAAAAATGTGATGCCGTATCTAAATGAATTCCGAAAACCAGTCGACGCGTGACATGGCACCGTAAGTGAATCTTTTCTGCGAATATTGACATTATGTACATCAGTACGGTAGGTTATTTTATTACTTAAATAAACAGGAATTTTGTCTTTTAAGATTTTGAAATAAACTACTCCTCCGCCAATTTATGTGAAACTCTCTGATATTTTTGTATGCCATAAATCAGTCTGAGGCAGCTATTCTGGACATACTGCACCCTTCTTTGATTTTCTTTAGTTAAGCAGGGACCATAGACCGAATCACAGTGGTTGAAATGAGATAAAATCAATGCATCAGTTAATAATCGTTTACTGTCTGCATTTAACACGTGTCGATACGGATAAAGAGATTTCAAGATACAATAAGATTTTTGTAATAGTTTATTTATGTGTGTATTAAATCTTAAATTATTGTCTATAAACAGACCCACATTTTTAACGAAAAATTATTTTATTATATTTTAATGATATTATCATATAGTTTTTATATCACATCATAATCTAGAATCTTTAAGCTTCAATTTAACATACATATCATATCATAATTTTTACAAACACGGCCGATATAATTTTTTAAAATTGTATCTTATTATTTTTGATTTACAATTTGACAATTACTTCCTTAATAATTTTTTCCTAAAAACTTCAATGATTTTATCATATAGTTTTTATATCACATCATAAACTAGAATCCTCAAGCTTCAATTTAACATACATATCATATCATAATTCTTCAAAATAAAGTAGATATGATTTATTGAAAATTTCGTATTATTTTTGATTTCAATTTGACAATTACTTCTTTAATAATTTGTTCCTAAAAACTTCAATGATATTATCATATACTGTCTATATCACATCATAAACTAGAATCCTTAAGCTTCAAGTTAACATACATATATCATAATTCTTCAAAATAAAGTAAATATGGTTTATTGAATTTTCGTATTATCTTTGATTTACAATTTGACAATTACTTCTTATCACATTATAAACTACAAAATTTAAGCTTCAATTTAACATACATATCATGTCATTATTCTTAAAAATACGGCCGACATGATTTGTTGGCAATTATGTTTTATTTTTGATCTATAAATTTGACAATCTCTTCTTTAATAATATTTTCCTAGAAATTTCAATAACATCATCATATCATAATTCTTAAAAACACGGCTGATATGATTTTTTGAAAAATTGACGTTATTTTTAATTTATAAATTTGACAATTTCTTTTTTAATAACATTTTCCAGGAAATTTCAATGATATTATCATATAGTTTTTATATCACATCATAAACTAGAATATTAAAGCTTGAATTTGACATACATATCATATCATAATTCTTCAAAATAAAGTACATATAATTTATTGAAAATTTCGTATTATCTTTGATTTACAATTTGACAATTAGGGGAAGGTGGGGCTACTTCGTACACGTTTTACTTATTGGGACATAAAAATGAAATGAGTTATTTTTTTAAATTGACACAGATATGAATGGATAGGTAGTGTATTTGGCTTAAAAATTCGATAGTTACGTTTTAAGTATGATGTAGCACTTCAGACTTATAAGCGATTTACCAAAACATGGAAATTGTGCGAATGTACCCCACGCGTGGGGTACATTCGTACATATGGTGGGGCACNTTTACAGTTAGGGGAAGGTGGGGCTACTTCGTACACGTTTTACTTATTGGGACATAAAAATGAAATGAGTTATTTTTTTAAATTGACACAGATATGAATGGATAGGTAGTGTATTTGGCTTAAAAATTCGATAGTTACGTTTTAAGTATGATGTAGCACTTCAGACTTATAAGCGATTTACCAAAACATGGAAATTGTGCGAATGTACCCCACGCGTGGGGTACATTCGTACATATGGTGGGGCACATTCATTCGCAGTGGGAAACATTGGTACACAGTAAAAAATAAACACAAAAATCACCGAAAATAATAATTTATTTACTAAAAATGCACTCTTAGTAAACAGTCATAGTCATATTTGACATATTATATTTATTTGTTAATATACTTATCTCTCAATTCAGACTTTATGAGATGAATTAATAACGACATTACAGTAATCAGCCTCAAAATCAAATAGAAAACTTAAAATCTAAAAACAAAGCTTAGGCACACATTCGCATTCTAAATAATAAGAACACTTTTATTACAATAATTTATATCATATGATATAATCTAGTTAAACTTTTTATGAAAACAAAAACCTAACGACCCTCCGTCTAACGAAAAAAAAAAGCCATCTCCTTATTATGTAAGCAACAAATTATTAAAAAAGAAGAAATCAAACTTAAACATTACGCAACTATTGGATATTGTATGGCGAAAAATCTTTTCCAAAGTTAAAAATACGGGCCGTCCTCGCTGTGGCAGCAGTTTTGGATTTTGGCAGTATAAGAATGATATCTGAAATAAGAACAGATCCTTCATCTTTCGTATTTGGATACACAAAATTCCAAGAACCGGCCTTTCCCTGCTTTTTTCTTAAAAATGAGATTTTATATTCTGATGGACTATATTTTTCAACGATTTCTCCAACGTAATGTAAAACTGACTTCTTTTTATCAAATTTCACTACAACAAAACTCCCTTTCTTAATGTTGTGAATCAAAACAGGTGTTTCTGTTTCTAATTCTTCACAGATGTCTTCAACCGGAGAAGCAGAACTTTCTCTCAAGCTCATATCAGTGTTAGTCTCACTCTCAGACTCTAAATCCTTCTTTTGTTTTTTTGACTTATCAACTTCGGTCGATACTAATTTCAGCGCACGTTTCACCTCCTTCACTCTATTTTTTCGTTCTTTCTCAATTTTCTTCGTTTCTTTTGCTCGTGCAATGTCTTCAAGTCTATTTTTTTCAGGTGTGTCGGTATATATTCTTGATTTGCCAATTTTTCTTTTCTTAGCTGTTGCAGACGTAGTTTTATGTATTTTAGGATAGGGTCGGATCATCTCTGGAGTTACTATTCCTAAAGATGTCGATGGTGAAGCCATTGCGTAACTGGACGATGAACAAACTACAGGCAACACAGGAGATGCAGGTGGTGAAGTTTGCGGAGCCTCTTGAGGCGCAGCTTCATCATTGGTTGCTTCGGCATTAGTCACAGATGGTTCTGGCGCAGAGTCGTTGTGGTACACTTGCACTGGAGCAAAATCTTCGTCGCTGAAAACAAGTTTGTTGAATGGCCATATACCGGTCTTCTCGAAAGCAGCAGTAATATTCTTACCATTGAAAGACTGAAAATAGGCTAATTTAGCCAGTTTTGGAATGCTGTAGATGTTAAGAGATTTCCCTGGATGAGACACATGCCAGTCGTTGAATGCAGTTTTCAGCTTTGATTTGAATGGGCCAAAGACTCCAACATCCAACGGTTGGAGACGGTGCGTGGTATGTGGAGGGAATGACAGATAAATAATTCCATTCTCACGTGCATAATTTATTGCATCAATGGTCACGTGGCTTTCGTGATTGTCACACAGAAGTAAAATTGGGTTTTCTTTTGAGCACACCGTATGTCTCTGCATATGTTTCAGGACATCTAAAAAAATGACTGAGTTAATCCAACCGCTCTTCGTAGCCACTCCCAAACTTCCTTCTGGTGCACCATCAATGAAATGGTCCTTGTAATGCACCCTTGGAAACACAAATAAAGGTGGGATAGTATTTCCGTTTGCGCAAATAAAGCCCCCAAAGGTAACTAGCTCCCCTCTTTCAGCGGACACGAGTTGACCCACTTGTTTTTGAGTTTTTTCAGCTAAAACTCTGGGCGTATTTAATACTGTGGAAATACCAGACTCGTCAAAATTGTAAATACGATCTCCAGTAAATTTGTGCTTCTGTAAGACTTGTTCCAGGTTCTCAAAAAATTCGCCAACAGCTGACTTATTAAATCCAAATGACCTAGCTGCACTAGTATTCTCGGGTTTTCGTAAACTTAAATTGGCGTTTCGTTTACGATAGCAGGCCAACCAATCTTTACCGGCCATTTTGTTTTCATCCCAGCTGGGCGGGTATCGAAAGTTATTCAATTTTGCAAATTGGTAGGAAAGTTTCCTAATTTGTTCCAGTGTTAAACCGTAGTGCCTCTTGGAACTGATTATGATATACTCATTTAGCATATCTTCTTCTTCTTTGGTAAAAACTTGATTGGCAGTATACTTTGAGTTAAACAATCGATTAGATGTAGTAGGTTCTCCAGATTTGGCTTTACGAATTTTATTAATACGAGTTTCAAGGGTTGATGGCTTTATACCATATTTATTTGCAGACTTTCTAGTAGATAGGTTTTTATTTAGGACCTCCTTAATTGCTGATGTCATAGCCTCTTCATCCACTATACCGCTTCTGGTATTCTTCCGTTTGTAGTTGCGCACCATCTGAAAAGAATTATGATAAGCTTGCTAATTAGATTAAGATTTCGTAAGGGGTACATTCGTACAGTACGAATGTGCCCCACGTATTAGTGAACGAACGTACCCCAACCAACATAAAAGTAACATTTTATAACCTAGAAAAAAAACCATTGAGAAGATGGTAAAACTAATGAAAAACACATAAAACCAATACATTTTCAGTGATTATGACAAATAACCAAAACATCTGTGACGTTATCACGAGAGTTAAATGAGTTTAAGTTAACAAGAAAAAAATACTTACGGTGACGAAAAACACGTTGCGGCTTGCCCCGATGCCGGCGACGCTCGCACTGCCTCTTCACTCCGCGAGCCGAGTGTCCGTAAGTGTGCGCATTACGCACTCAAAGCTGAATTCTCTAGCACTATCTATAGGCTATATATAGCTAGTGTCCGAAAGTGCCCCGCGAACGAAATAGCCCCCCCTTCCCCTNATCTGTGACGTTATCACGAGAGTTAAATGAGTTTAAGTTAACAAGAAAAAAATACTTACGGTGACGAAAAACACGTTGCGGCTTGCCCCGATGCCGGCGACGCTCGCACTGCCTCTTCACTCCGCGAGCCGAGTGTCCGTAAGTGTGCGCATTACGCACTCAAAGCTGAATTCTCTAGCACTATCTATAGGCTATATATAGCTAGTGTCCGAAAGTGCCCCGCGAACGAAATAGCCCCCCCTTCCCCTACGTGCCTATACTGTGGTACAGTCTATATAAAATATTTAAACCTCGCATCGTGATGTGTTGTTCATTGAACTAGCTACGTCACTGACCCACCTTGCCCCTCAGAGGAGAAGAATCGGCATTGGGTAACCTTATGTTTTATAGACCTTCGATATGTCACACTGACTTTTGACAGTGTGACATATCTATTTCAAAACATGATAAAACAAAACTCCCTGTTAATTTTGCCAACTTTACATCAATTTGACAGGTTTTATAGAAAAAAAAATGAACCATACGTCACTCAGATTTGAGCGTACGATTGGAGAGAGACAGTGCTACGAATCTTCTGCGCTAGAAGAAAACCCCTAACAAAAGACACATTTTGTACGTCTGTGATTTCTTTCTTCTTGCTTAAAACGTCATCTGGAGTCGGGGGTGGGGAATTTTAAACTTTTACATTAATTATTGCAAAAATTAAACTATTTTCGAACGTGAAAACGTTACTAATCCGTCTAATTTAATTTAAATTATCGATATTTTGAAAGACGGTCTTTCTAATCGATTGTCCTTAACGGCCCTATTAACACTGTCCTTTAAATCTGAATTTTTTAGCGACTGATCGAGCTAAAAAGTTAAAACAGTTGCTGCTTGGATATCCTAAAGTTCCTAGATTTACAAAGTACCACGGTTTGACGCCATTTTGGCTCGAAAGTCAAGCGGGAAATTTAAAACTATATCGTTCTATTGATAACATTACGCCAAATTTCCTTTCTTTTTTTCTCGTGGTACTCTGAAGAGTCGAACGTCCTTCTTACTACCATTTTTGCAACTCCAAAGGCAATAAGACGGCAATATTTTTGTAAATAAGTGGTGAGATGCAGTGACAAGCTGTCAAACCGCCATTTTGGCTTCAAAACAGGATTCATGAACCGCGGTACTTTGTAAATCTAGGGACTTTAGGATATCCTTAAATAGAGCGCCATTGGCTACATCGGTCTATCTCATACAGGATGTTCAAAAATGTAAGTACTGCTTTACCATATTCAATTGCAAAAAAAGTCGAAAATTTTCAATGGAACACCCCATATTTGATTAGCTTATCAGATAGAGAATTTAATTCTTTACAAATCTTCAGTACATGTCCCTATACCCATCTGTTGCAATTGTTGAGATAGAGCGGAATTAATCAAAATCATGCAGAGAATGGCAGATTTTATTCTTTTTTCTATTAGTAGACCATGAAATACAGTGACACAGAAAAGTATACATACACCCCGGTATAACTCCATTTTGAGTAATTTCTGCAAGTTAGAAGTAAAACAACGCAACAAACTATATAATGTTAGATGAAAGTACATACAATAAAAAAACTGCAGAATAAATTGACAAAATACAATATTTCTAACACAGAAAAGTATAAATACGCTTAATTATATTTATAAGCAGGACCACAAAAACATAGTATTAATATTTGGTGGGGCCACCATCATTTTCAATTACAGCATTGATTCTATTTTTCATAGAATATACCAACTTTTTTGTGGTTTCTGCTGAAATTGCATTCCATTCCTCAATTAATATGTTTTTGAGATTATGTTTATTTCTTATGCATTTCTGAATGCAGCTGATTATACAGTAACCATTCCTTGACAATGTGGGCGGTGTGTTTAGGGTTGTTATCTCCCAAATAAATTAAATTTGCTTTCGTCACTAAACATTACGTTGGCTCAGAAAGACTTATCGACATCTTTATATTTGTTAGCAAAATCTATGCGTTTTTTCCTATTGTTTTCGCTGATAAAGGGTTTCTTCCTGGGCACTCGGCTATGAAAATTATTTTTTCGTAGTACACTTCGAACTGTTTCGGAATGAACGGAAACTATACTGTTGCATTCCAGTTTCTTCACTACTTCCACGGCGCTGGTTCTAGGATTTTGTTTAATTTCTCCTAATATGAATCGTTTTATTCATGGAGTTATTTTTGGAGGTCTACCGCTTCTTGCTTTACTTTCTAAACTATTATTGTTTTTATAGTTTCTCAACACTGTTTGAACATTGCTTTTTGAGCGCCCAACCATTTCTCCGATTTCTCGAAGCGTTTTTCCATCATTCCGACGTTTAATAATTAATTGGCGCACCTCTAAACATATTTCCCTACTTTTAACACGCATATTTTTAAGGGAAGTGTTTGTTTTATAATAAAAACACAAATATAAGGCATGTACCTATATTTACTTAGATTTGACAAATCAAATTTTATAAACTCTCGCGACGTTTAACAGCTCTGTTTTCATGAATACCAACTTACAAAATTTAAAATCAAGCCGTATGTATACTTTTCTGTGTTTAAAAAATTAATATTCATTATTATTGTTAATAAATATTGTTCAACACGCAGTTAATTCTTCAATTTCAAGTATTATACTTAATACTAATACATTTAAAAACGTTTCATACTTCTAATTTCCATAAATTACTCAAAACGGTGTGTTACATGGGTGTATGTATACTTTTCTGTGTCACTGTATATGCATTTGACAGCTTTCAAGTGATGCCGCCATAATTATTTGTAATTTCACAGGTGTTAAATTACATTACAATAATTAATTCAAATTAAAATTCATTAAACGAATTTTTAATTGTCATATTGTTATTAATAGTCTATATGTTTATTGGTTAATGCTTGATTATGAATTACACAAAAGACGGATTTATGACCATGGTTTTTATTTTGGAACAATGTCAACAAAATACTCGTCTTGCTCAAGTATATCGTGAAAAATACCCAAATGCCCAACTTCCGAGCAAGTGATGTTTCGATAACTGAACTGATATTGGAGATAATGGAAGTGTTGACATACCTAAACGTCGAAAATGTCGTATGTAGTTCGAGAAGAGAACAATGAACTAAATGTTTTATTGAGTTTGTAAGAGAATCCGCATGTGAGTACACGACAGATCGCTAGAGCAACAGATATGAGTAAAAGCTCACAAAAGTGAATTATAAGGCTTCACAACTACCACCAAGGATTTCATGGAGATGATTTTGCTAACAGAGTAGCTTTCTGTACGACAACTTTAGATAAAATAAATCAAAACTCTCTTTTCGTATCATCAATTCTATTTAGTGATGAAGCTATTTTGAGTAACGAGTTAATAAACCGACATAATATGCATTATTATGCAACCGAAAATCCTCTACGGCTAAGGCGCGTAATTAATCAAAATGTATGGTCGTTAAATGTTTAGGGCGGAATATTTAACCGTAAAATAATTAGGCATACTGACAGGACAAATTTACAAAACATTTTTAGAAGAGTTGCCAGAGTTGCTGGAAGATGTAAATTTAGAAACTAGACAAAAAATGATATTTCAACGCGACGGGGCATCTGCACGTTACTTCCGGAACATTTCTCAAAACTTTTTAAATATTGGATATGGAAAACATTGGATTGGTCGCGGAGGTCCAATACCGTGGTCAGCAAGATCACCTGACCTAACTCACCGCGACTCCTTCCTCTCGGTATACGTCAAAACCCAAGTGGTACGCTAATATTCCAACGACGAAAGAAGATATGAAGAATAGAATGAGGGAAAGCTTTAGAAACGTCTCTGCTGAAACACTAGATAATGTGCAAGCAGAATTAGTAAATCGGCTTCATCTATGCATAAAGCACAGATGGCAGATATTTGAACACTTATAAAGTTTGGTTGAGAATTATTTATCGTCTTATTTCATGGCCTACTAATGAGAAAATGAACAAGATCTGCCATTCTTTGCATGATATTGATTAATTCTAGAATATCTCAAAAACTACAACTGATAGGTACAGGGACATGTACTGAAGATTTGTAGAGAATTAAATTCTCTATCTGATTAACTAGTCTTGCCCAAGTTTGTTGTAATCACTGAACATTTCTACGTAACATATGTTAATTTGAAAATTTTCGGGTCCACGGGTTTCTTTTCATCGCGAGTTAAATGAAAAAAGTACCCGATTTTTTACGGTACCGGTAACATTGTCACTTTAGCGATTTTTTTTTTCTCGAAAACTATCGTACGAAAAAATTTGAATTTTGAACAGGTGCTAGCCTGATGTGTTCTTAAGTGGCATATTTTATTTTTTCGATATTCCATACAATTTCCCGGAAAATTTAAACTTTCTAGCTCGATCAGTCGCTAAGAAGTTCAGATTCGAAGGGCATACTGTTAATTGCTAAAAAAAGCTTCTAGTTAAAATAACTCAAAAACTAAAAGCAGTAGGTATCAACATGTCTTTATTAAAGTCAACTTAGTTTTGTGAGTAGAATCAGAAGACGTAATAAAAACTATATCATTCCAGTTAAAATAACACATGTTTATTTCAGTACGTCGTTATGAAACGCCTGTATGTATAAAAATATTTTCCGTTTATACTGTGCTAAATTTCCTACAACTTTTGTCTAAGAAAGAACTGCGTATCTCCGCTTCTTAATGCCATTTATGTACTTTGTTGCTTACGTGGGACACCTGTATATTGGTGGTGATGGAGTTATGCTGAATTTTAATGTTATTAGCACCAGCATTCTGTTAAAATATTTCATTAACCTTTCCTTTGTTATACAAGTAATCAGTGCATTATGTAAATGTGCAGTCAAATTTTAAACATATTTATACAAAATGCTATCAATTTTGCCTCCTCAAAATAGTTCGAATATTAACCGGCTTTTTAATGATTCAAGATTTAAGTTTAATAAGTTGATCTATTATTAATATTGTTGATGT